GTAATTCTGCCTTTTCTCTGTTTCCTGTTAACTTTTTGCCATCTTCTCATTTATGCAGTGCGGATGCAGTCTTGGCCAACAGAATTCAAAACCCTGAAATAATTTCATTTAAAGAAACTAGCCACCCTTTCCTTCCACATTAACAGAATCATAGATCTAAAACACACTGCAGAAATAATTCAGTTTGAGACTGCTTTAACTGCCCTTGCTCAGTGCTAGGGAATTCTCAGAACCGTAGTTTTGTGAAACATTTAGCCTCTCTGTCAGAGAGCTCTGGAGCCACAGGAAACAAATCGCAGGAATCCCTAGCACTGGGCCAGGGCATTTAAAACGGTGTCAAACTGGATTATGTCTGCAGTGCGTTTTGGACCATAGAGATGAAAGAGATCTCTAAAGACATCTGGCCCACCCTTTGGAAGATGTAGGAAATCCCGTGCTATGGTCTCCTCAATAGATAACCATTCATTCTATGGTGGAAAAAACTCTAATGAAGGAGAACCTTCTGAAAGCTATATCAGACATCACATAGTTGGCAGCTGTGTCCTTTTTCTCATTTAAAGGAAGTGCAAGGACCTCAGTCCAGATCAGGTACTTAGTGAATAGAGTAAGGAACTTTAAACCTCTTTCCTTGGTCCTAATCTGGGTTAGATCCACCATGCTCATAATTTATATTGAGGGATGGGCATGTGTGGCAAGTCTGGGGGACATTTCTGCCCTGGGACCCTAGAAGTGTCTGGAAGCTTTTGAAACATGGGTATTTTTTATATCAAACGTATAACCTATTTAAAAGGTGAATTTTGTGGCCCACAGAGAATCCCAGCAGGTCCCGATAACTGGGCCCCAGAACTTTAGAAGTTGCTCACTCCTGTTATAGAGTAACTCCTGTTATAGAGTAAATTGAAGAAAATACATTGCTGCTATCTAAAGAAAGGATAACAAGATCATGTCTCTCAAAATTTGTTTGTGTTGGCCCTAAGACTGTCTGTTCCACTGTCAAACAAAATGTAGCATCAAGAAGTTCTTCCTAATGTTTAGTCTGAATCCTCTCCCTTGTAATTTGAAGCCTTATTTTATTTTATTTTTTGATCAACAGAAAACAAATTGGCTCTATCAACAGCATGGCAGTTCTTCAAATATTTGAAGACAGTGATTGTATCACCTCTTAATAATCTCTTCTCCAGGCTAATTGAGCAGGCAAAAGAGCAAAGTTTGGCTTTGACAACCTAGTTTGGTGTGCCACTTGAAGTGAAGAGAGAATAGACATTGCAGATGTGAACAAAAGAGAGGAAGCACTGATGGGCATGACAGTCCTGCTCATTTGTTCTACATCTCAAACCCACAATGTTTGGTAGCATAGTTGCATGAGCTGACAGGAGGGCCAGGGCATCTCTGAGGTTCTCACAAGGTGGGAGATGTTTACCAATGCCATTTCTTATATCAGGTGGTGTAAGTGGTTAACAGTTGCTAGGTGTTTATGTGATTGTTCAGCCAACATGTAAAGTTCAACTTCTGATTCAAGTGCTTGTGATGTTGTCAGCTCTAGTGCTCTTGGTAGTATTTTTTAGCTTCAACTGTACTTAAACTAGAGCTTGAAAAGTTACTTTTTTGGGACAACAGAAAACCTTCAGTGACCTTGCTGGTGGAGGGATTCCATAGTTTTAATCCAAAATGTAACATCTCCAAGTTCTGAAATATCAGTGAGCATTCACCTGACAATTCTCATTTAAACCTCTGATAAATCAGCTATCAAATTATGTCACGTCAGATGCATAGTTCTTAAATAGAAATACTTGATTTAAGGTTGGTTTATATAAACCCAGTTGTACCCTGAGAATGAATGAACAACTTTAAATGCCTTGTAAAATAGTAACTATTTATATATCTGTATCTATATCTATTTGTGCAACCCACTATAGTTGCAAATTTGTGGCTCTCATTTCATAATCTTGGGTACATGCCTATCATTGTTCTGATCAAAAAAGGATTACATGTTTTTAGATGTCTTAATTTTAATAAACCCCTCTGGGATTGGCTGCTGGTTGAATGTCATAACTTACACAACACAATGTGTTTCTTAAGTGTCGTGGGTTGGGTATTTATTTATTTTCAAATTGGGGTGTGTCTGTGTAATGCTGCAGATAGGGAGACACATTGTGTGACATTGATTGCACTAGGGGGAGCTAGAGAGTCACTTGTTGTGAGCTACTACCAGGTTTGGTCTTATAGTTGCCCCTCCATTCTCATGGACTTCATGTCTGCGGTTTT